AGGTGCCCAAATTAAAAAAAAAAAAAAAAAAAACATCTTCCCACCTTCTGCAAGAAGCAGAAGCCTCCCTTTTTGAAAAAGACCCCAGCTCATGACCCCGGGCAGACAGTTTCCCTGCCCAGAAAGGAATCTGTCCCATGTGTTCCTTTGCTAATAAACTCTGCTTTCTCCTAATCAACCCTATTCGTCATATGGCTACTTTTTAGCTATCACATATGACAAAATATCAGCCATCATGACTGAATATCTGGGCCTGTGTGATGTTTCCCTTTCTGTTTTATGACTACCTTCCCCTACATATGGGTTTATTTATGCATTGCTCAGTGTGTACTCTGTGTGTGTACACATCTCAGTTACACATGTTTGTTCTTAGATACTTGATTGCTCTATTTGCAACTATGATTATATCTATTCATACAAGCATGTAACATGTTCGTGTATCTATAGTAGGTAAAAGAGAGACATTAAACACATTTCCTTTCTGCAAAAGAAACAAATCAAGCCAGGCATGGTAGTGCACGCAAGCAATCCTAGCATTTAGGAAGCCGAGGCAGGAGGATTGTTACAGGTGGTGCAAGGCCAGCTTGGACTGAATAGTAAGGCCCTGTCTCAAAAACAAAAGAAATAAAGCCAAATCTCAGATGAAGGAAAGTAGGTGTAGCCATTTTATTGACAGAACTTACAGCCATGACCAATGATCTAGTATTCAGCTAAGAAAACATTGATTGATTTTTCCTGTTCCCTGACTTTTCCTGGTTGGAAGCATCAGGAAATGTGGAAAAAGCAGATGAGGTGGTCAAATTGGTCAACAAGCAGGTGGAAAGCAGGTAGGGAGGTATGGTGTTTAGAGTCCCTGGGATCTCCAGAGCTTGTAAACAGCAGCGTTAGTGTCACCATCAGTAGCAATGAGTGCTTGCAGATTGGCATGATCATTCACAAACCCCATGGCCTGGAGAGATTCCATCTGTTTTCTGAAATGAACATCAGGAGTTGGTAGAGGATGATAAGGGTCTCCAGAGAGGGGCTGTAATCTCTGTAACACTGTTCCAGATTTGTGGCTGTACTCAGACAACTGAGGCTCAGCAATATCTGGCACATTCCAATTCCAGGGTATTGTGTCAGAGTAGCTGCAGCTGGGGGCAGGGAGCCAACCTAGACCCCATAGGTAAAGTTCAATACAAGGCAGAAGGATAGGAGCCTCTACAGCCAATAGCTGCAAACCATGTTCAATCTGTGATATTGCTTGTGATTTTTAGGGTTGGCTATGGATAAAAGCAGGTCAGAAAGCTGTGATGACTGCAGGGATGTGGGCAGTTGCTATCTACACTACTCACTCTGTTGGGGCATACTCATGAGCAGCAGTATCTGAGCTGCTATGTGGGGGTGGTTCCTAAGCAACTGGATCATGTCTCCTGGGATCTGAGAGCTAGTCTGCTCATCCAACACCTGTGGCTCTTCCTCTGACCACTGGTCAGAGCTACCTAGAGAGATGGTGGTATTGTCATCTTTCTGAAGCTCCTGGGTAACTTCTATGCTAGTTAAGGCTGGTACCCCAGCTGGATGCTGGACAGCACAGACATGGCTTTTGCCCTTGGTGCTGACCGTGGCGAGATTTTCTCTAGAAGTATTGTTGGCCTTTTGGGGAGTGATATTGGTTGGGGTGATTGGAGATAAACCACAAGAACTGGCATAAAAGACTTGGGCTGTAGGCAGCTGGTCCCATTGCTCCTGGCATGATGGTGGAGATTGGGGTGAAGGCTGAACTTGCTCAAGTACTTGTTCCACCAGAAGAACTGTGGAAGGGTTGCCATACAAAAGATCTTGGGTGTCGAACATTTGATCATTGAGACTATCATAGCTCTGGCCCAGGGCATTGTTCCCATTTGGAATCATCTCTAAGCCCAAGTACGGCTGTCGGTTAAGTGGATGCTCAAGGTTCTGTGGCTTCTGGGTCTGCATTATCTCTTGAATGATAGCAAGATGCCTAGCCAGCTCCAAAGTCTGCCACAGCATCTCAGAATTGTCAAGGAGCTGGGAGATTTCTGGGTTCTGCTGTATTGGTTGTTGCAGGTCCAGGTGCTCCACAATGAGCTGTCGCATGAAATCTATATTGGATCGCAGTCTCTGAACACAAAGATTCTCCAGCATCTGTGCAATGTTCTCTGGGCTGTCCAATTCTGGGTCTTGAATACCCACCTTGGGTGCATCAGACTCCACAAGGAGGGCTGATTCCACTCTGTTTTGACTCACACCTGCAGATTGGCACATCCCACTGCTGTTTCCTTTGGTGCTTCTGTCCTGGGGGCAGGGCTCATTGGTTAGCAGGTTCCCAGAAGAGTGAGCCAGGGATCTGGAGCCATGCTTGGATTTGATGACCACATGCATGGTGTCACCATTTACTATTTCCCTCTGGCTCAGTGTATCATGGTCTTTGAGAAGGCGGCCCATGAAAACCAGCACTAGTTGGTCCATTTGGCATTGGAAGTGTGCAGACAGCATCTCCTTGAACTTCCTCACTGAGGTGTCAGCACATACTATAAAGTTTTCCTGGTTGCCTGGTGTCTTCACAATCACTTGAATGACGCTGACACTTGGAAAGCTAGTCCCGTCTGCATACACACCAGCAGGACGCTTGTTCTGAAGCATCCTGGGTGTTTAAGGGATGACATGAGGCATAGACCTTACTATGGTGGGCAGATGGGGAGCAAGCAGAAGCAGGGCAGAGAGGTGAGGGCAGGCAAATGGTCCTTCTGGCCTTTGTTGCAGGTGTTGTGTTCCCAAGTCACAGGTTAGTTTTCCTTGATGCCCAAAAGTGATGAATGAACTGGAGCCGGTGTTTTTGTGATGTCGTACCCTCACCCCAGTTCTCCAGATGTGGCCCAGCTGAGGCCTGGCGTGACTACTGATTCATTCTTGACACAGAGTGGACTAAATAGTGATGACCCCCTCACAGCTGCCCTACCTCCTGCTCCACCCTCAAGGGTGTGATCTGTCCAGAAAGGGGATATTGTGATGTCAACTTAAGCCTCACAGTGTGTCTGGATGAGATAGGGAGAGTAAATTTGGTAGTGGGGGGCAGAGTCCAAGTCTTCATTATAAAATAAAACAGGACAATTTTCTAAAACTAAAGATAGTATTTTCTGGTAAATAATAATAATAAAACAGATGTAGAATATGAGGTTTTAGAGGCACTTTGTGTGGGTCCCTCATAAGGATGTTGGACTTGCTGCATAAAATATTTACTCTAATGAAGCCATTGAAAAAAAGCCACATTCCTGTGAGTAAGAACCGGGTTTGTATTACAAGAAGGAGCTTACTGATTTTGTTGATGATCTGGAAAAGGTGAGCGTTAGAAAAGAAAAAGGCACAAGAGCAAAGATCTTATGTGAAAGGAAAGGCTATGTTTTCCCTTGGAGTCCAGAGTGTGGGATTCTAGACTTAAATGAGAATGTTCCCATGTAGTGGGTAACGAATTATTTTTCTTATTTAAGGAGTAGAGGTGGGACTCGCCAGGGAGGCTCCTGACAGGGACACTCCAAGCTAAAATGTAAGCAAGCCGCTCCTTACAACACACTTGTCGCTCTCATGATTTACATGTGGATTGGTCTTTTCTACATGCCGTCATAACAGTTTTTGGAGGAATCTATTTCAAGGTCTTTGCTCTGTTTACTTGTACTGCTTACTTTTCTATCAGAACACCCAAGGGCACTTACATGCCTATCAAGTGATGGGAGTGAAAGTGGTGATGATGTGTTTCCTGAGGGAGCAGGTTCCAGCAAGTGAAAACAGGTTCTCGGGAGCACGAATTTTTGGAGGTAGTATTTTATTTTCCTGTTGGGAAACTGACATTATTATTGATTTCTTAAAATACCTATGTGACTATAGATGGAATTATTGTACACACAGTCTATCGGGTACATACTTGTGAATACATATTATAAAACTTTATGCACATTTTGTGACTGTGACATCTTCAGGGTCTGAATCCTTATATGCCTATCTAGATGGAAAGGAGTCTTGCAAAATAGTTTGAGCCCGCATGTGTATTGAAGAAGGACAAAGAAATGACAAACGTTTGGCTAGGAGACTTTCTGCAATCACACCAAGAAGTCTTTATTGAGAATGGCTGGAACCCCAGCCCAATCTGTATCTGGTGGCTGTCATCTTCGCTAATTTAGTTGTTAACATCCTAGAGCAGCACTCAGGCCTAACTGCCTCTTTCAGTTGTATTCAAACTTGAAATTGATTGAGGACAGAGAGCAATATGTCTTCAAACTAAGATTCTACCTCTTTTCTATGCAGAAACCCTTTACAAGGGTTGAGGGGAGAGCGAGAACTTTTGTATCCCACTCTAAAGGCCAGCTTCTGGGGTTCTTCTGCACCAGACTCAGATACTCTTGACCCTGAGAACTGACAGTCACATCATCCAAGAATTCTAGAAACTACATTGATAAGTTTCAAAACATAAAACACAAGATATCATTAGCATTTCTCCAGCTAATTTTTTTATTATTGTTTAGTGCTAAGAATTCAGTGATAGTTTTTCTACCTACCTACCATACTAGGGATTGAACCCAGGGTCCAGGGCATGCTAAACACATGTTCTACCACTCAGCTATACCCCATCCTCTCTCTAGTTAATCATGTATTTTGTCTCTTAAATCCTCCAAGCAATGCTTTAGTATGTTGATTTAGCTATTAATTATATAAAGAAACAAAATAGAATCACTTTTTTTAAATCCTTAAAGAGGGTGGTCATTAGGGGAGCTGTCCTCCTAGAAGGGAGGAAGACTGAACACCCTTCTATCAGTACCTTGGCCAGCCCTGGAATCTTCAGGGCTTAGAGGGCTTGTTGGACTTGAAAGATTTGGGTGGAGCCCTAACACCAAAAGGCCTTTTGATGAGAGGTGTTGGCATCCTGGGCTTTAGTGTTAGGAAGGTGAGGTCATAATTTACTAAGAAACCATCATTGTAGACATAGAGCTTGTGGTCCCAGGGGCAGTAATTAATGCCATGCAGTGTTTCCAGCATTTTATCCAACAGGATGCTGAGGTGGTGCTCCTGCCCAGTGGCGGTATCAAAAGCATAAAAGATCTCCTCTTGGCGAGTGCTCAGTGAGCGTAAGGCATAGAGCACCCCACAGGCCATGAAAGCTCCTGACAGGGCTGGTTTATACTGGCTGGTATGCCAGGTTTGCTCAACTTCTAGGGTGCTATCATTGAGATGACTCACAACCAGGTTACCCTTGCTTTCCTCTGTGGCATAGAGCACCCACAGCCCCTTCTCATCACCCGCAAAGTCTATATCGGTCCAAGGCACACCAGCATAGGAGAAGCGGTTGTTATAGGTGGCACCAGGCAATGGGCGTTGCAGTACTAGGGTGTTGGAGGAAAGGTCTACCTTGGCCATGTCGTTTGTACCGTAGTAGTTAAAGTACATGAAGTTCCTGTACACGGTATTTCCACTGCCATCACCATAGCCCATCTTCCACTGTTCATAGTGCTTCAGCAGCACCAGGTCATCATAGGACTTATGTAGCCGATAGAAGTCAAAGTACCTAGGCCAAGCCCCCCCACATTAAAACTATTAGAACAGCAATAACCAGGGTAGAGAAGTACTATAAAAATGGCAACCTCTAATCCCCAAAAGGAACATCTATAACATAACCCCTATACCCACGGCTCAGAGAACATCACAGAAGAGGTGGACAGAACTACTGAAAGAGTTAGAGAGCTAGGAAGACTGCTAAGAAATAGTGTCTTCTGCACATGACAGGGATGTTGGACCCTTGACAGCACAATATGGTCACCTGCACAACACTAATCAACATTCCAGCATGGCTGGGGGATGGGCTCACAAGGCCTCACCCCCTAGTTGAAAAACTACAAGCAGTGGACAGCTGTGGTTTGGAGGGAGAGTCAGTTTTCTTCAGGAACAAACCCCCTGACAGCTTGTCCATCCCCAAGTAGTCAGTTTACATCCACGTACATATAGGTAGCACTAACTGGACCCGATAGTGTGTATGTATATATATACACACGTGTATATATGCAGTATATAATTACATATATAAGTATAGAAGAAAAGGACACAAATTTGAAAGGGGGAGTGGGGAAAACAGGAGAAGTTGGAGATGAGACAGAGAGGGAGAGGTAAACATGATGAAAATACATTGTACTCATATATGAAATTATCACAAAAAATAAAAATTAGGCAGCCTCATATACCAATTAAGAGCAAGGACTTGGAAGTCAGATGGAATTTTTAATCCATCTTCTACTTACTATACACTGTGTCAAGACAACTGTATAAAAATCAAGTCACAGAAATAATACTAACAGCAGCTGCAGTGCCTGCTAGCCCATGTAAATGTATTTTTTTCATTTAATTATACTAAAAACACTGCAAAGGTTGAGTGTTGCCCTCAGTGACTATGGGCTTAGATGACAGAAAGTTAGATCTTTTCCTCAAGGTCACTTGGCTTATAAGTGGAATCTAACAAGAATAACAAAAGAGTCAATAACAATATACTCCATTGATTGAAAGAACTGACCAAAATGATGCAAAGAATAGATTTAGTATGATATGCATCATAAATATCAGTCAACAGAACCAGCTGCGGTGTTCTCCTTTATGGACACCTCCTGAGCCTGCCCATGAGATGCCTGTGTTCTGGAATGGGATGCAGTTTCAGAACTAGAATCAGGTAGGTTAAGTCAAATTATTCCTATATTACAAGTGTTCTTATGTCTTAACACTGGGCAGTATATTCTAGATTACCAGTTAGGATCTTGTCAGCATTCAGAGTAAAGGCGTACTGATGCATTTTATGGCTACAAAGTGTTTAGCAGAGTTGGGAAGCATTATTTTGACTATTGCTATTCTTTTTCAGATAACTTTCAAGTGGGGCTTTTTAATGACTGGTTCTATCCACATTAATCTCTCCCTCCTGTGACCTTTCTACACAGTTAGGTCCATCCCACACACCCCACACTTCCACATGTACTGACTTTAACCACCACGAGCTGAGCCTTCCTTCTTAGCCGGGCTGATCTACTGAAGGACCCATTCTTCTGCTTATTAACTCACCTAGCTATTAATATAGCTAACAAATATTTGTCAGCACCTACTTATCCCTTGCTTTTCAATGTAGTTCAATTTCATGCAGTTTTCTTATATATTTATCCTAATTTTATGGATGGCTAAGAATGCATCCATGATCTAATGCCACTTAGCAATAACTAGCAGTAATAAGAATCCTACTGCAGGCCTTAAGGTTGGCTGGAGTAGTTCTCTAAACTTCTAAACAAGAAGGTAGGACGCTAAAGCCAAAATATGTAAGTGTTTGCCTTGAGTTAGGATGACTCCAGACAGCCATCCTTGGCTCATGATAAGTTTAAATTTTTTTAGGGTAGGGGCTGGAGAGATGCCTCAGTAGATAAGAGCACTGACTGCTCTTGCAAAAGACCCAGGTTCCATTCCCAATACCCACATGGTGGCTAGCAACCATCCATAAATCCAGTTCCAGGGGGATCTGATGCCATCTTCTGACCTCCACAGGCATTGCATGATACAGGTGCACTTACACATGCAGGCAATATACATACACATTAAAAAATTAGTAATATTAAATTAATCAAGTATTTTAAAATTTTTTCAGGATAATCTAGGCCATGTGTGTCTTATGGGAGGTATTAAGAGATGATCTGCCAGGTCTATGTCCCAGGAGCATACATAAAACGAAGATAAGAATCTGTGCTGGGGCTACTAAGAACCCTGCTGGAGCCAATTTAAGGATCATATGGAATGATCCTGGGTACACATTTTTTCCCCTCTGGGACTCACCTGCCATCCACACGTAGAGGGGCCACCCAGTAAAGGGAAGAAGCTGGATCAGGTGCTGAGTCTCGGCCCCAGGCACCTGCCTTATGCGAGAAGCCCCTCCAGTTTAGCTTCAGCACGAGGGGTCTGCCCACTTTCTGCAGGCCTTCATGGGCACAAGAACCTACAGTGGAGAGCAGGCAAGATACGAGCTAGATGCAAAGCACTTGACCTACTAAAAGCAGAGTATGGAGTTTAATAAGCACATATACAATTGAGAGCATGCCCGTGCACGTACATATCAAGCAGAAAACAGGCTGACTTTGTATGAATTGAGATGAATGTGTGTGCCTATGGGATACTCATATGATTGCATATATAGTTATGTCCATGTGGAGAGTATACCAATCTTGGTATAAGCAAGGAAGTTGAAGATTTATTCTTCATCAAGAACTCTATTGGCCTCCCCTTAGCACCTGAATCTATTACGCCAGTCCTACATTCAACCCAGTTACTAGGAAAACAAGATCCTGGGAAATTCAGGCTGTGAACTCACCAGGGGCCAGGGGCAGACCAGGGTCTCTGGAGGACTGTTCCTGCTCCTTTTCCCTCTCGCACTCACTGAGTCGGCCCTCAAGGACTTCTACTTCCTGTCGGAGAGCACGGAAGCTTCGATGGTTAGAGTCAGCCAGAAGCTTCAAGGTGAGGCTGGCATTAGTCACCTGAGGAAATGAGATTCCAAGGACATGGGTCACAGAGTGTTCCCCACAACTGAACTCAGACTGTCTTGTTTCTCAGTTCAGGATCTTCTCCAGAAAGTAGTTTTGGAAACTGTCAAATACACAAGGTTATATAAGACAGGCGGCTACAAGAGGAGAGGAAGCGGGGCTCTTTCATGTATGAGCCGACCTGGCTCTGGAGTTGATGGAGGAGGTCGGCAGCTCCGTTGTTGCCTCCCTCGGCCTTAAGCTGGGCCGCCAGCTCCTGTGCTCCTTCCAGTTCCAAGCGAAGCAGGTTGAAGGCCGGGTGGTCATAAGGAGATGAAATGACACCAGGATTCCTGGACTCCTGCATACGGTTCATTTCCAGGGCCTGACTGTCTTGATCTTCAGGAGCATGTGCAAACTCCTTGGCCTGAGCATGGGAGGATGGGCAAACAGTTCTTCCAAATGTCAAGGACCCTACAACCCCCCATCTATTCGCATCCCCCTGAAGCCACACAACTTGCAATCTTAGAAAGCACCTCATGTCTATCATCTCGCATATTTAACAGTGCATGAGTTATTCAGCTGTATTATCCCCATTTCACAACTGAAGACATTTATGTCCTTTTTTTGAAGGAAAAAGTTTCCACCCACACCATTCATAGAGCATTTAAAACCCACTCTCAAGACTAGTTAGATGAGTGAGAATCAACAGACAGAATCCCAACTTCTAATCTGTCTGCATCTAATCAAATTTCCCCAGGAGCTCGACAAGTCGTGGTTCACTGAACAACTGATGATGTCACACTGTGGATGTGATACTTCTGCTCACTTGCCTTTATTATAGGCTCAGTGCCAGGCTCTCCAGCCTAGCCTCGAAGCCCTTCCAAACAGTGTTTCCCTTTCACTTCTTTGACCCAAAGAACTTGTTCCTGCATCCTTCCCACTCACTGCCAAGCCTTTGATTAGTGTCTGTGTGTGCCTATATTTTCCTCTGCTTGTTTCTCAATTGATCCATATCTCCTAGTTTACCCATTGATGTAAGAAGCACTTCTAAGCATCCACAGCTTTTCTTTACTGTTACTGCTATTGGAGAGCCAAAGAGCAGTGTCTAATTTCCCTTTGATCCTAAGGACTGACCTCAAAGACAGAGTTTGCATGGGTCGTGTGCTTACTTCTAGGCTGAATCCAATGGATGAAGTGTTTACACACTTCCCAGCCCCAACCCAGCCCAAAGCTGCAGCACTCACCCTGGACAGCTCTTGTTCATACTTGCCAATGAGCTCCTGCACTGTAGTCTGCAGCCGATCCAGCTGCTGCAGGAAGATGGAGTTGTTGGGCAGGTGAACCACACATTGCAATGTGCCGCTCTCATCCACTGAGCTTAGTTCACTTCTCACCAGCTGCAAAAGCAAGGCCACGGGTACACTCAGTGTAATGAAGTATGTCGGACCTCCATATGCTATTCACAAATGTGAGGTACAAGAGGCCGGCTCTGGTCTGGAGTGCTGGAGAACAGTGCACTTTGCATATGAGGATCTTTACTGACTGTCTGCGGATCCCTGTAGGGAGTGTAAGTCAGTTTTAACTTTCTAGCTTTGAAGCTTCAGTCCCCTTCTAGCTTGTATTATTTGAGTCACCCTCACCCTTTGTACACTCACTGCATATAGCTACATTCCACATAGCAGAATGCCAACTTCTCCTTAAGAATCTATGGGAGAGGGGCTGGAGAGGCAGCTCAGTGGCGAAGAGCACTGACTGCTCTTGCAGAGGACCGAGGTTCAAATCCCAGCACCCACATGGCAGCTAACAACCATCCATAACTCCAATTCCAGAGGATCTGACGTGCTCTTCTGACCTCCCTGGGTATTGTACCAACACAGGTGCATTTATACACATGCAGGCAATGCCCATGAAATAAAATAAAAATAATAAATACATATTTTAAAAAAGAATCTATGGGGAAAAGCAAAACTGGTCTACAGAAAAGATCTGGGGACAGGCTTAAGGAACTTCAGTTCTCTACAATGACCCTACACTTGGGATTTGGCAAATTCCCACAGACTCACTCTGTCCTAAAGAAAGAAGGTACAGAGAATTCCTAACCATCAAGGGAATCCACTGAAACAGCACCATCAGTCTGACTTGAAGCTAACATGTATAAGGACATGGCATGAGGTGAGAGGTGACCTATGTATCAGAGCTCAAAAGCATGAGGGTCTAAGACTGAAGCAACCTTACAGTCACATGATTAATAAGTTACAAGACTGCAAGCTTCCCCAGAGTTTCATGTGTTTTTTTTTTTTTTTCCAGACCCTGTACTCTTACACGTAAGTCAGCTGCACAGCTCTAATCTATGATGGGAAGGGTCAGCAGCACTGGCAAAGAAGGTAAGAGTACAAGGGAGCTCCTTTACCTTACACAGAGCAAGTGGAAGGCTCTAGAGCTAAGAGCTGTGAAGTTGGAGTCATCTTACCCTCGCAGTTCAAATCCATTGATTCTATGGCTGTATTTTCTAATTTCCTCTTCATATTGTATATGCAATTGCTCTGTTTCCCACTACTTTCAGGTGTCCATTGATGGAAATTATAATGTTTACTACATTATTTTACCCTAAGATGGGAGGAATAGATAGGTACGTCAGTGGATGGATGGATGGATGGATGGATGGATGGATGGGTGGATGGATGAATGGACAGGTAGGTAGATAGACAGATAATATTGGTAAAGTGCTTAAAATAACACCTCTCTTCCTGTATCATAATTCTTTTTTCTCCACTTCCATTCTGAAGCTGGATGAGTCAGCATTAGATTGAAAATTCCTTCCCAATTTTTAAATTAGGCCTGTGGTACCAGCTGGGGTTTCCTTACAGAATCATCAAGAATTAGGCATACAGCCTCTGCATTTTTCTAAGATGCTTCATCCTACACCCTACTTCATAGATTTTGTTTTCAATGTACGTTTTTATTGAGTTTGGGGGCATTACATCTTAATCACATTTAGGCCCCTCCCCTACCTGCACCCCCCCATAGCCCACCCACAGATTTTCATGCATTTTATTATATCTGTTAAAGACTATTGAGTCAAGTTCATGTACACAGATGTCCCTTGCAGTTCATCCACTGCAGCCTGTTCAGCCTATCTACTGTCATTCCCTTAAAGAAGATCAACTCTCCCTTACCCAGCAGTGATCAACTACCAATAGCTCCTTGGCTAAGGTTAGGGCCTGCTGTTGCCCAGTTCTATGCTGACTTTTTGTCTGATTGAGTTTGCATGGGTCTTGTGCATGCTGTCACCATTGCTGTAAGTTCATAAGAGAAAGTTCCCAGAAGCTTCTTTATGATCATGTACCACTCCTGGCTCTTAAAATCTTTCTGCCCTTTCTGAGCCCTGACACCCATAGCTTATTCTAGCTATGTCTTCAGCCTGAAACTCACTCCCAATAGTTTAGATTTGGGCAGAAACTGAAGTAAAAAGGTGTGATTTCTAAGCCAGTCACCCTTGGCACCAGTATCCTCATCATAGGAGGAAGGTACATAAAATAAAAACTCATAATAACAAAGTTTACAGACCAGAGTTCTCACATCTGTTATCTCCCCCCTCTCTTTCTTTCTCTCTTTCCCCCCTCCCTTTCATCCTATGCTCATGCTACTCAAAGGAAAATCAGAGCAAATTGTGTCTCATCCTCTAGTTCTCTCTACTCTAAGTCTTGCCAAGGACCTGGGAGTTCTTGAACAGAATCATAATGGAGAGTGAGGCCATCCCAAATCACAGAATCATCTCTCCTGCCTGATCCCTTTGCCCTCTGCCAGTACCTGAGGCTGTCCATGGAGCACCAAGGGCAGCAGCAGTAGAAAGGTTAGAAGAGCTGGGACAGGCTGCATCTTGGTCCCACAGCAGGAATTAGGTAAATCGCTATGGCTCCCCTGGGCTTTTATCTCCAGAGCAAATGAATAGTCTCAGTAGGGGGGGACACAGATTTCAACATCTAAAGGATTGAGATGTGGGGAGAGTTTTAAAGTATGGGGAAGAGGATTATAACAAAGTGACACCTTTAAACATGAGTGGAAGTCCGTTTCCTCTACAAAAGCAGAGTCACCCTCATCCATCCCCAAGCTGTCCTCACCCTGCCAGGCCCTCCTGTTCAAATAGATTAGAGAAAACCTGAGATATCTGTGGGAGCCTTCGAATGGGTCCTTTTCAAAGGGGATTATGGTCTTTCCCTCAACTTTCATGGAAAGAAGGCTCTAGAAGGAAATGCAACCTAACCTTCTCAATCTAAGGACAGGATCCATTTACTTAAACAGATGGCCCTTGGATGAGGGCCAAAGTGTGTCCCTTGGGGGGTTGCTTAGGCAGCGCTGCACTCTGACACTCCCTTGTCCCTAGAAATTTAACTCCTCCACTATCCTGGGTACTCTAAACTTTTTCATTCCACTCCACCTCCAAATGCTCTCCTAATTCCGTACTTTGGACATCCGCAGCCTCTGCTGCCTGTCATCTAAGAAAGCCTCCCTACAATCATCCATGGGAGGCTATCAAGCCTCGAGTTCTCTGGTTCCACAAGTGGATATATCTACAGAGAAAGAAGAGTTTGATTCCTGAGTCCTGGACAAGCAATCTCAGCTCAGGGCTTTCAGTACGGCCCACCCTAAACCTTTTCTCCTCCAGCATCTCATTTGTGTATTTCCAAGGAGTGTGGAGTCTCCCATGTATCCACATGCCTGGGAGATGTCATTTTTTCCGGGAAACAGTAACATTTCCTGAAGAGTGTATCACTTTATTTTTATGGGGAAACCTGGTATCCCTAACTCTACCAACTGTGCCTGCTTTTGCTTCCCTACTTCTCACAATGCCCCCAACTTCAAATAGTGTGGCTGCTTAGCACCAAGACCCTCAGATTACTCCATCCAGTCCTGTAGCTTGGCCTTTCTGTGACCATGGGGTCCAGAGAAACATGGAGGTCAAGAAGATTACCTCTAGTTATCATGGGAGTTGCTTGCAAAACTGAATAAGAATAAGAATCCATCAGAATCAATGTCCAGGTGGGTGTCACTAGAACTGTGGTTGTTTTATGGAAGGAGGGATGGAAGGCAGGCCAGGCACAGGAGAACAGAGAAAGCATGAAGCATCACAACAGATGCTGTAATCAACATCCCATATTTTAGCAACTTTATATCTAGCCAATGACGCAAGCTGAAGAGAAAGGAATGCCCTCAAAAATCTAATGTGATAGGAAACAGCTTAAAGAGGCAGCCGCAGTACTATCCCCTCCCCATGATTCCAAAGCTTTAGGTAATCACCCAGATCAGAAACCATGTCAGCTGCCGGAGCTGTGTTCTTTTATTCAAACTACTGTCTCCCCAGTCCCTCCTGTCTTCATCCCTTCAGCAAACATGGAGTTTCTACTTAGTGCCAGAGATGGTACTAATGCCAGACATGGTAGCTACCTTGAATCATTCTGGCTCTGTCTGGGTAGAGTGATGGAGAAAGATCTTAGTCTCAGAATGTGTCCTGGGTGTCACTGGAATTCAACATCTTCTGTGTTTGTGTGGTTTGTCCATAGTTTGTCCAATACTGAGCTGTAAGGAGCTCATGGGAGTAGGCTGTGCAAGTCCAGCCAGGCAGGGAGAGATCAGTTTTGTGTACACTGCCTGACTATGTGATTGAAATATGTAATGTGGTCATGGTGCCACCTAGAGGCAGATATTATCAATACTTTGGTGTGGACTTCACCCAGACAAAGCCTGCATTGTAGCATGAGTTGATCATCTGCAGACACAAGCTAGACAAAATGGGATATTCATTCCTGCGGGGAAGCCCTCTCGGCGCCCACCTTTCTCAGTCTTCGAAGCAAGTGCCTCAGCCTCTGAGTGATCTGCTGGGTGCGAACTCCATAGACCACAGGATTGAGGGCTGGGGGAACCACCACATAGAGGTTAGCCAGTAGGATGTGAATGTGGCTGGGTACTGTGTGGCGGCCAAAACGGTGAGCCAGGAAGGAGAAGAGGGCAGGCGTATAGAAGAGAAAGATGACACCCGCATGGGCCCCACAGGTGCCCAGCGCCTTGTAACGGGCACCATGGGATGGCAGGCGGCAGACAGCACGGAGAATGAGCGTATAGGAAGCACCTATGAGCCCCAGGTCCAGGCCGGGGGAGAGCAGCGTGGTGGCCAGTCCATACCAGATGTTGGGACGTGTGTCACCACACGCCAGTCGAGCCACACCCATGTGCTCACAGTAGGTATGAGGCAGGGCCCGCTGCCCACAGTAAGGGAGTCTCTGGAGCAGGGCCACAGGGGGTGCCATGACACAGGCACCGCGTGCCACAGCCGCTACAGCCACTATACCCACCACACGCTGGCTCAGCAAAGCCCCATAGCGCAAAGGCTGGCAAATGG